AGACTTGTGGACTTCAATTCCCAGAATTCCAGCTTTGCTGGCTGAGGAATTCTGGGAATTGAAGTCCACAAGTCTTAAAGTTGCCAAGGTTGGAGACCCCTGCTTTAGGGGATAGTGAGTGTTTTATTTCTACAAACGATGGGATCCAGATTCTTTGACTTGGGAAAAATTGAAAACTGTACTTACACAGAGGGTTTTTAAACACACAAATCCCATCAGCTAACCACAAAGGTGTCCGTAAGGTGGGGTGGACATACTGTGCTTCCTTTCCCTACAGCTGTCCTAAGGAACAAACTGATCCCTTTTCTGAAGCAAGTATCGCCATTGGAAACTTCTATGGGCCACAAATCAATCCTCCTTTGTTTATGTAACTATGGAGATGGGATCTGCTGGCTTGATGGGAAGCGTGGCTTCCAGAGGTCTCCAGGTATGTACAGGGTTAGGAGACAGGTGTCCAGATCTGAAAGCCGAGTCTAATTCTTGAGGGCAAAGCAGGTAGGCCCACTCCTGTCATAATTTTTCTGCCATGAAAGTGGCTTTTTTTCCTTCACGGGAGTGGCAAAACTGATAGCATACGCAGGTTGGCAGAAGACTGGGAGGGGCTGAACCATGCAGTTATGTGTGCCCTTTTATGACCATGTGGGGGGTGTGTGTGTGTATATATATTAGGTGAACCAACAGGAAAAAAATTAATGATGGGAAGGTCCGGGTAGCAAAGGGGAGGGTTAGGTTTCTGCCCTTTACACACCCTTTTCTTCCTACTCCCGTCCTTCAGAAATTTCACTGACTTGCTTACCTACAGCATTCAAGATTCATCGACCCAGGAAAACAGGAATTCCAATCCATCTGATTTCACCCACCGAGTTTGGCCAGATGACCTAATCCCTACATTTCTTGCTGAGAAAACCAGGAGCGCTTTTCGTTCCAGAGGACCTGAATGTCCTGGTTGCTGCTCCTTGCTTTAATTTACCAAGCTCGGAAATACTAACCATCTGCTTCCTTGTCCCCACGTACCACAATGAGCTGCCACTTGCTCCTCTATGGGCTACCTGCCTTGGGAATCTATGCGCTGGTATCTCACTGTCTTCGGAAGAAGCCACATCTCCTTCACAAACCACACAGGTTTCCCGTTCGATGCTTACATGTCTCCCACAGGGGTGGTAAGTTCTGCGATGTAAATTGGGTATCTGGTGGAGGGGCTTTGGGGGCACCGAGAGGGAGGATGGAGAGGTCAGCATGTGTACTGCAGCTACCAATCGGGTGAATAAGGGAAGCAGAGAGGAAAGGAAATATTAATAATAAGATTCCTGCCTCTGCTTTTCTTCTTGAGAAGTGATATTTGCATTTTTCTGCTCCATGATAGTCCCAAGACTTGTAAAGCTGCATTCCTAAACCCCAAAGCAGAACAATTTGATATTTCTTTGGAGACAGAGTGCCTAAGATAAAATGTCTTGAAATCTGATTTCCTCTTCAGGTGCTGGAGAGCAGATTGAGAACACTTTGGGTGCCTTTAAAAAGTGAGTAATGCAATCGCCACTCTACCTCAACTTGCCCTTCTTGTGCACTAATCCTGCCCTTCAACTTCTCTTGCCAATCTTTGCATCTTCCCAGTGCACTGAGCCAGGGGACAAACCTGCTTGAACTTGATTGCCACATAACCAAAGATGGGATTGTGGTTGTGTCCCATGATGAAAATCTGAAACGCCAGACGGGGCACAACATTGATATCAGCCTCACATACTATAAGGTGAGCATCGGTAGGTCTTTAGTATCCACCTGCCCTGCCTTTTGGGTATTATTATTCACCTGCCCTGCCTTTTGGGTATTATTATTCACCTGCCCTGCCTTTTGGGTATATTTAGGTGACAGATTTTAAGGCAATGTAAATGATGCTCCCAGGCTGTTTCTCATTATGAAGTGTCATAATGAGATATAAGTCCTGCCTTTCCTCGAGAAATTCAAGGTGGAATAAATAACACCCTCCATTGTTAACACTTAAAAAAAAAATCCCATTGAACTACTGTAGGTTGGGTGGAGAGTGTTTGTTTGAGTTGGGCCTCTGTTGTGATGATGAAATGATGAAACCACCATTGTGCCATCAACAATGCAAGCTTCACCACTATTGAGAGTGCAACTTGATATTACAAGCACATAACAAAAGAGGGTCACAACAGAATTAAGGCTGCTTTTGTCATTTGGATGAAAGTGTTGATCCTGCAAATGGATCTAAGTTAGACCTTATCAGTCCTATTTAGGTATTCTAACCACCACACCCCAAGGACCTTACACACTTACCAGAAACAAGATAACTTCCTTATTACTCCCTTTGAACAATGATTCTAGCTCTTTGGGGAGACATGCTTTTCATTCCCTCCCTTCAACCCACATGGCAAAAATCTCTGTTAAAACCACTCTTACTTCTTATGTATCACTGGTTGTATCCCCTAGGATTTGCCACACTATCTGTCTTCTTTGGAAGTGACATTTTCTCCAGGTGAGTATAGGATTATGGACTTTGGGGAAAATGTGCTGTGGTAGAAAGCAAGGCAAATCATTTGTTCTCTTCATCTCTGAGAAAAATGCTCAGTTCTACACTCAACCTACCCTTCCTAACAGGAAGCGTCTCCCATGGTACTGATCACCAGATTCCTCGTTTGGAAGAGGTTTTTGAGCAATTCCCTGAAGTCCCTATTAATATTGAAATTAAAGAGGATAATGATGATCTCATCAATAAGGTAAGAAATCAATAAGGTAAGATAGAATCAAGATCATATGAAGTGTTAATACCACTTTATAATGCCTTGGTAAGGCCACATTTGGAATACTATGTCCAGTTTTGGTCACCACAATGTTAAAAAGATGTTGAGACTCTAGAAAGAGTTCAGAGAAGAGCAAACATAATGATGATTAGGGGACTGGAGACTAAGACATATGAAGAACATTTGGAGGAACTGGGCCTGTCTAGTCTAATGAAAAGAAGGACTAGGGGTGACATGATAACAGTGTTCCAATATATCAGGGGTTGCCAGAAAGAAGAGCGGATCAAGCTATTCTCCAAAGCACCTGAAGGCAGGACAAGAAGCAATGGGTGGAAATTAATCAAGGAGAGAAGCAACCTAGAACTCAGGAGAAATTTCCTGACAGTTAGAACAATTAATCAGTGGAACAGCTTGCCTCCAGAAGTTGTGAATGCTCCAACACTGGAAGTTTTTAAGAAGACATTGGACAATCATTCATCTGAAACCCAACTCAGTTTTTCAAATTTCTTTACCATCCAACACATTTTGCATAAAGCACAGATCTTGGACAGTGTCCAACCTTCCTGTCTCTAGATCTCTCTTACAGATCTATGTTCACTTTTTTACTGGTCAACATGAAGCTAAATTCACCAAAAGTTTCTCTCACATATAAGGACATATTCAACTTGAAAATCCTTCAATTAAGATACAAGACACTTTGTATTTTTGTAGTAAACAAGAATACAGTAATAGTAGAGTTATTCCTTGAATGTCCAATCACACTTGCCCAATAAGGATTATTCTATTCTATTCTATTCTATTCTATTCTATTCTATTCTATTCTATTCTATTCTATTCTATTCCATTCCACTCCACTCCACTCCACTCCACTCCACTCCACTCCACTCTATCCTTTCATTCCTATAATTTAGTTACATTCCTAAGACTATAGAAGATGTCTAGGAAGATGTTGACCTTCCAAATCTCATTCCACTTCTGCAGTTAATGCTCATTTGAGGCTGCTCAAATCCATTGAGAAAATTGAATCCATTATTTTGAAAAAAAAAGTTTGCTACAAGAGTGAACTTTCAATGAATTTTAAACCATATCTGGGATTTTAGATAAAAATAGCAGGCATAGAGGAAAGGAAATAAATACTCAAAGGCATACATAGTTTCAAGAAATATTGAGATTTTGTCTCAAACAATATTGAATTATGTAATCATAAATTGAGAGTAGGAACTCTCAGTCTTTTTCTGGAGAAGGAGAGATCAGTATTATTGTATAAGGTTTTCAATTTGCAAGGATCAGGAAGTTGTGAATGCTCCAACACTGGAAGTTTTTAAGAAGACATTGGACAACCATTTGTTCTAAATTGTGATGGCACTGGAAAAAATGTTATTTATGACCGGTCCTTGTACTGGACACTTGGCAATTGGCATATGTTTCTTCTGAGGCTTGCAGCATCCCAGGTCACATCGTCCCATTTGCGACCTTCCCAGTTGGCTTCCAACAAGCATCATCAATGGGGAAAGCCAGATTTGATTAATGACCATATATTCACTTAACAACGGCAATGACTCATTTAATCATGGCAAAAAAAAGTTTGTAAAATTAGGCGTGAACATCCACCTTGCTTATCGATGGGAATTCGGGTCCCCATTGTGGCTGTAAGTTGGAGTACCTGTACTTTTTGGTAGTATGAACTTGGACGCTTCATAGACAGTAAAAGAAGAAAGAGAGCTATAATTATCTTAAGGTCATCAAGTTGCTCATCCTTGAACTGAGAGTACAAGTAGCCACAGTTCTGGCTGGTGGACCCTACATCTCATCACTTATTCATATCACTGTTCACATCAAGGTGTTAGAAGAAGTTGACCTCCACAGTGTAGGGTGGAAAGAGAATAAGTGCATAAGATTATTCCAAATCCGTACCCCACAGAAAAGACACCTGATTGGTGCTTCGGACTCCGCTCCCTCTGATCTGATTGGTTCTTCTTACTCAGTTTCCACAAGAGGCAATTGCGCCACTAAAAACTGATGTTCCTTCTAGGAATGTGTTATCTGAGCTTATGTTGTTTTCCCTTCTTCCAGGTAGCACATCTTGTCCAGAAATACGATCGTTCCCACATCAGCATTTGGGCCTCCTTTGATAATCAAATACTGAAAAAATGCCGGAAAGCTGTACGTATTAAATGTCCTTTTCCCCACTTTCACTTTTTATATTTACAAATCCTTTTTTTGCTTAAAGCTTCAGACTGTATAAATATATATGGAAAGGTTTTTTTTAGACTCTTCAGACAGCAATAAATAAAGTACCCCTTCATGCAGGTAATCCTTGACTTACAAACATTCATTTAGTGACTGGTCCTCACACTTACAACTGTTGCAGCATCCCCATGGTCACAAATTTGGACGTTTGGCAACTGGCCTGTCTTTATGACCATTGAAGTGTCCCGGAGTCCTGAGATCACCATTTACAACTTCTGACAGCAAAGCCAACGGGCGAAGCCTGATTCACTTAACAAGTGTGTGATTCACTTAGCAACCGCAGCAAAAAAAAAGTCATAAAATTAGACATGACTCATGTAATGCCACCTTACATTGCAATGGAAATTCCTGTCCCAATTGTGTTCATAAGTCAAGGCTTGCCTGTAACATATTAGAGCATGGTTAAAAAGTCCACCCTGTTCTTCCTTCTTCTTCTTAAGCTTTCTTTGTAGACCAACTTGTTACACCCGCTTTTTCCAATTCTCCATAAGCATTAGACAACAGCCTCCCTAAATTCACTAACCTAGATTGAAAGACTGTTAAGCAGTTGAGTTTTGTCAAGCCAGGGCAAGAATTGTATTTTCCCTGAACCTTCCCCTCTATTTGGGGCACTTGGATGCTTAGCGAGCGGGAAAACAAAGCTGTGGGATGAAGTGCAACAACCTTCCCAGCAATGAAGTGTAGGAATGACAAATCCAGGGGTGGGATTCAATTTTTTAAACAACTGGTTCCGTGGGCGTGGCTAGGTGGGCGTGGCTAGGTGGGCATAGCCATGTGACTGAGTGGGCGTAGCTTTGTCTTGTTTTTTGCAGCCCATCCCGCTCCGTTTTTATTTTAATTGTTTTTGCCTCCTGGGCCTCAGGGAAGCCTCCTGGAGAGGCATTTTTGCTCGCAGGAAGTTTATCTGAGGCCCAGGAAAGCAAAAAAACGGAGCATGGAAGGTCCCCCTGGGCCTCAGGGAAGCCTCCTGGGCAAAGCAGTAAGACAGCAAGGGAGATCCCAGCACAACTGATCATTGGAACAGGTGATAGTTGGGAGGGGGGAAAAAAAGAAATACCTTAAGGAGTGACTGGGCAGGGGAGACTGCAGTCAGCAATGTTGTGCATGAGCGACAAGGGCTGGCTGGGTGGGGAGGGGAGAACGGAGAGGGTGGGGCCAGCCAGGGGGCACGATTTGCCAGTTCTCCAAACTGCACAGAATTGTAACAACAACCAGTTCTACACAACCGGTCCGAACCGGTAGAATCCCACCCCTGGACAAATCGACTGTCTAAAGTAAAAAAAAATAAAAAATGTTATTTATCCCCCCAGAATAAAGATATGCCCTACATCTTCTCCAAGAGCAGGGGCCTCTGCATGCTTGGTCTCTGGTACCTTGGACTCCTGCCCTTCTTTCCTCTGAAGGAATCGTTCCTCGAATTCGTGCTGCCCTCGATCATAAACAGGTAACAGTTATTACAAGGGTGGGATTTAGGCAGAAAAACATACAGACTTAGAAATACGATCATCTACCTAATGATCAGCCTTTGGAAGTCATGTGCCACATTTGCTCTCCCCTTTAAACAGAGTTGTGTGCCAGCTTTGGAGAGACACTTTCCTGGCATGCTGATGTGAGAAAAGGGAGGGTGTCTGGGCAACCTTTGCATCCCTATCACACAGTGGCCTTTCCACGGGACCAGCAGCTAACCAGCATCCAGGAATTCTCGACTGAGGAAAGCAGAGAAGTGAGAACGATTGGTCTATCAGTCCCAATGAGCCACGGCCAATGCTGCTCTCTTAAACCCTTTGCTCTGGCTTTGCTCATGATACAGGGCAGGGATATTTATGAGACAACCCATCTCCAGAGACTTCTGCTCATCCAATACAGGTAGTTCTCAAGTTACAACAATTCATTTAGTGACCGTTCAAAGTTACAACGGCACTGAAAAACAGGACTTGCAACTGTTTTTCAGTTACAACCTCTCCAGCATCCACAGGATCATGTGATCAAAATTCAGACTCTTGGTAAGTGGTTCATGTTTATGACCGTTGCTGTGTCCTAAGGTCACGCAGTCCCTTTTTGAGACCTTCCAACAAGCCAAGTCAATGGGAAAGCTTGATTGACTTAACAACTGGGTTACTCATTTACCAACTGCAGTGAACCACTTGACAACTGTGGCAAGAAAGGTCACAAAATGGGGCAAAACTCACTTAGCAACAGAAATTTTGGGCCCAATTGTGGTTGTAAATCAAGGACTACCTTTACAATCTGATAGGGTTGACGTGTGTCGGGTCCAGAGTTCGGTGAGCGTGGCTTGGTGGGTGCGTTTTGCGCGTACGCCAAACGCGCACTTTGTGCAGGCATTTTGAGTCATCTCCGGCAATCCTGCACTCTCCCTGACGCTTCAGCAGCTGCTGTGCGGCAATTGCTGTGCTACACAAAGCAGCTGCCCTTCAAAAGCAGAACAAAAGGTATGGGTGCCTGAGCGGGTGGGTGGGTGGGCCCAACATCAGGGAGAGCTGGTTCAGTCTCTGCTGCTCATCGCCGCTACCGGCTCGGTAGAACCGGACCAAACCGGTAGAATACCACCACTGGTTGGCTCCCATCCATTAATCAGTGTCATCTGATGGGACCCAAGCCATGGGCCTTTTCTATTGCTGTGTCTCTCCTATGGGACAACATTTTTTCCAAGATCCAAATGGCCCGTCTGTCTTCTGAAAGGCAATGAAGACCGGCATTTGGTCAAGAGATTTGGGGAGTCCTTCTAGATCAATTGTTTCTGTCTGCAAGCTGCCTCTGTTTGTTTGTATTTTATTCTTTTGCCCACTGCCATTTGTCACGTTCCATTTTATATGCTTCCCTGAGCTAGATGTTAATCGGTGACCATGGAGCATATATTAATGAGCCATTAATGGTCTAGCAGTTAAGGCACCAAGCGTGGAAGCCAGACAGGAGACTTTGGACTAACTGTCAGGAGACTGTGAGTTCTAGTCCTGCCTTAGGAATGAAAGCCAACTGGGTGACTTTGGGGAAGTCACTCTCTCTCAATCCAACTCTCCTTGCAGGATTCTCTTTGTGGGGAAAATTAGGAAGAGAAAAGAGTAATTGGTGTGTTCCCAATCTTGAGTTATTTATAAAATAATAATAAAGATGGGGGAAAAAATAAACAAACAACTGTTTTGTCTAGAGCAGGAGTGTCAAACTTGCATTGTCGCAGTGTCGTCATGTTATGTATCACAACTTTCCCCCCCCCCCTTCGCTAAACCAGGTGTGAGAAAAGAAAGACTAGGGGTGACATGATGGCAGTATTCCAGTATTTGAGGGGCTGCCACAGAGAAGAGGGGGGGGGAGTCAACTTATTTTCCAAAGCACACGAAGGCAGGACAAGAAACAATGGATGGAAACTAATCAAGGAGAGAAGCAACCTGGAATTAAGGAGAGACTCCCTAGCAGTGAGAACAATTAACCAATGGAACAAATTGCCTTCAGAAGTTGTGGGTGCTTTATCCCTGGAAGTTTTAAAGAGACTGGACAGCCACCTGTCTGAAATGGTATAGGATCTCGTTTGAGCAGGGGGTTGGACTAGAAGACCTCCAAAGTACCTTCAAACTCTACTTTGATTGATTGAAATATGAACACAGTACTCTTCCCCGCCCCCCCTCTTCTCAACAACGTTTCCTCTTGCCACTCCTAGAACCAGTAAACATTTTACGGAATGTCAACAGAAGAACATCAGCTAAATGGACTCTTTCATTCCAGAAGCAGTTGCTGTGAAGCATAGCAAGAAAGGACTTGAATCTGTTTTCTTCTTCTTCTTTTTAGGAGGCATAATGTTGACTCTTTGAGAAGCAGGAAGTAATAAAACATGAAAAACAAACCATAAAAGCAAAAAGAAAAAAAGCTTTGAGTGGAATTATTTGAGTCTCTCTGATGTTCCAATATCTAAAAGGAATCCCGAAGAAAAACAATAGAGGCAGGTGTGGAAGAGAAGCTGCTTAGCAAAACCACAGGTGCCTGCTGTCTCCTCCTCCCATCGGAGCCTTCTATCCAGCATCAACAGAATTGCCAATGAAGTTCCAAGCTTCACATAGGTGTGGGCGGAGAATGAAGAAGATGCTTGTTTGTGGCCCTGCAACCACCAGCAAACAGTACAGCAGACAAACAAAAGATGTTTTCCTTCAGGAGTGGAGAGTGCAAAGGGGGGAGGGAAGTATAGCAACGCAGCAACATAGAGCACAATATAAAAAACTGCAAGAGCTCTATATGCAGCCATTTATAGGGAGGGGGGATGAAATTTCAGAGGCACCTTAAGACAGAGCAGGCTTAAGAAAGAAATGTTGTTATATAGTAGTAATAATATCAAGCATAATATACAAAAGGGGTGGGCAAGATGCATGGACTTCAACTCCCAGAATTCCCCATCCAGCATGGCTGGCTGGGAAATTCTGGGAATTGAACTCCACACGTCTTAAAGTTGCCAAGATTGGGAATACTTGGCATACAAGTAGTCCTCAACTTATGACCACAACAGGGACCAGAAAGTTCATCACTGAGTGGTACAGTAATTAAGTGAGGTATTTTACCTTCTTTGCCATGGTTGTTAAATGAATCTCCGTGGTTGTTAAACAAAACATCACATGACTGCAACTTGTGAACTTCCCTGCCAGCTTCCTCATTGACTGCATCTTGGAAGCCGGATAAAACGTCACAAATGGTTGTCATATGATTGCCAGGCATCCAAATCGCACTTGTGAGACTGTCAGGATGATAAAGCAGTCATAAGCGCAAGAACCAGCTCTAAGTCACCTTTTTTTCAGCCCAGTTGTAACTTTGAACAGTCACTAAATGAATGGACATTAGTGTGATGGAACGTGTACCTGGAGGAGCACTGCGAAGAGACTTTTGAAAGCAGAGTGTTTTCCCAGAAAGAAAAGATGGCGTACTCTCTTAATCTGAGCATCTTTCTAAGAAAGCCAAAAGTTTCTCTGTTTGTTCCTGCAGGTAAACATTCCATCACATCAAGCGAAGGAAACCTGTATAGGAAATTGTAACAAAACAATGTTCCCCACTGCCATTCTCAGAGATTTGCCTGGATAAGTCCCCGCAGTTTTCTTGGCAAGGTTTTTCAAAAGTAGTTTGCCACAGACTCCTTCCTAGGGCTGAAAGAAAGTGACTGGCCCAAAGTCACCCAACTGGACTAGAAATCTCAGTCCCCTGGTTTTGAGCCTAATGCCTTAACCACTATGCTAAACCGGTTTTCTTACAGCAATTGAAGATTATTAGTACATTGCAATAGTTATTATCATAGGAATGGTGCAGAGATGATAATAGAATAGAATATAGGAAGTACTCGTGTATCACTTTGTTTTTATCAAATAAAACATCTTCCCCACTCTTATAGGGAGCCATAAGAAAACTACCTGTCCAGAATCCAGTGCTTCTGTGTCTCCTTCAGATGGGAACAAGCTAGTTGGAAGCAGTTCAACAAAGAACCTATGACACAAGACATTCAAACCTCACAGTTTGGGGGTTTTCCCCTATCATGTGAATAACGCCTAAGTTAATTGGACAGGATAAAGTTAAGCTGACCTTCCTCATATATTCTCTTTCATGTTCTGTAGAAGCTTAGTTGTGGAGAAAAACAATGCTGGTGTGTAAAATTATTCTAAGGGTTTTGCCTGTCAAAGACAAGATATATTTGTAGTATGTTTTGTAATTCATGGAATTAGTTCTTTGGAAAAAGTGTGGGATCCAATATTTTAAAGGAGGAATAGCAGGAAACAAGCAGTTCTCAGGAGCTTGTTAATTTTGCCACCTTTCTGTTTTGTTTAATCCTAGGACGTTTTTTCCAGTGAAAAAGGGCAGACTTGGATCACTCCTGGCAATATTTGCCACCAAGTGAGTGACATAGAGCCATGGTTTTAATTGTTTCGTTCTTACTAAGTATTCCTTTCCTTCATCACCTTCTCCTCTCCTTTCCCAGCAGGAGGGCTCTTAATGAAACATATAACCCAAGCCAGCTGTTTCCCTGCTAGAGACAATAAATATCAGAAAAATGACCCCTCTCTCCCCAAGTGACACTACGTGAAATATCTTGTTTTTTCTCATATCTATTCCCCCCCCCCTTTTTTTTCTGCTGGGCTCTATAATACATAAAGCAGAGTGAATATACCTAAACCTTTTGTATTCCTATTTCTTTCCTTTCCCACCAGGGTGACAATGCGTAAAAAGCTGTTCAAACATCTGGAAGACAGAGGAATACAAGTATGTTGGGGAAAGCTAACAAATCAGAATTTTGGGTGGCATGCTAGTCTCTACTAGAGAAAAGGGGGGGGGGACATGACACCAGTATTCCAGTATTTGAGGGGCTGCCACAAAGAAGAGGGGGTTAATTTATTTTCCAAAGCCCCAGAAGGCCAGACAAGAAACAACAGATGGAAAATAATCAAGGAGAGAAGTAAACTGGAATTAAGGAGAAACTTCCTCACAGTGAGGATGATCAACCAGTGGAACAGCTGGCCTTCAGACATTGTGGGTGCTGGAGGTTTTTAAGAAAGGACTGAACAATCACTTGTCTGAAAAAGTACAGGATTTCCTGTTTGAGCAATGGGCTGGACTAGAAGACCCACCGAGGTCCCTTCCAACTCTATTCTGATTCTGATATTCCTGGGAATGATCAGAATTATTTATTTATTATTAAATTTATATGCCGCTCATCTTACTACTAAGCAACTCTAGGGGCTTACAATGGTATAAACATTATATAAAGCTAAAACATCAAGAGAGCAATACATAGAGCACCAAATTTAACATACTAACTTAAACAACAAAGCAAATAAAATAAAATGTGCACAGAGGGTGGAGGTGGGATCCTCTAATAATCTACTAGCCATTTCGGAAATGAGACCACCTCCCATTGGGGTCCCAGGACAGTTGTCAGAGTCAGGTCTTCGGGTTCCTTTGGAAGGCCAAGAGGGTGAGGGCAGATCTCATCTCAAGGGGCATGATGTGCCGCAGCAGAGAAGGCTTTTCTGCTGGATCTCACCAGGTGCAATTCCTTGGCCAACAGGATCCAGAGCATGTCCCTCCTGCCAGAGTAAGTATGGAGGGCCAATCTTATCAGGGCGAGACTGTTCCTCAGATAGCCTGGATGATGCCCTACAGGGCTTTAAAACTAATGGCCAACTACACCGTAAACAAATTGGTAAGCAATGCAGTTCATGTAACAGTGGGGTAACATGGGCCACTCTAGGGACCCCTAAAACTGTTTGCTCTGCTGCATGTTGTCTCAGCTGTAACTCCCAAACACTCAAGGGTAGCTCCATGTAGAGTGGATTGCAGTAGTCTGAGTGTGAAATGACCAGGGCAAGAGTGGCTGAGCCTGAATTAAAACCTGAGTTCAAACTATTGTAAAAAATATTGCTATTGACCTGGCTACTAACAGTAGTGATGAAGTGGCGCTCCAGAAATTTTGGGATTGCAGCAAAGGCGCCTCTTATTCTTGGTACACTCTTTTTTTTTTTTTTTTTGGAGGGCCACAGTCCTTTTATTTCTGGTGTTTGCATTTTGTGATTCTGTTTTTCCCTCTTCCACTTTCTCTCTAGACTCTTCTTTGGGTTTTGAATGAAGACAAAGATTTTGAAGAAGCCTTTAGCTATGGGGTCTCCGGAGTAATGTCTGACTATCCAACCCTTCTTCGACAGTACCTGAATGCCCACCCACCACCACCCTCCAATGCATAAATTGTAATATCATTTTAGAATTGCTGCTGACATTTCTGATGGGGAACGGAGAGAGAAATGGATGATTTCAGGACAAAAAATGTGTGAAACCATTTCACATCAAAAGTGTGTGAAACCATCATTCGCACACCAGTACTGATGATGTTACCTTAAAGTAATGAAAACAAGGAAGGAAACAAGCCAACTCAGAAAGCACCAAGGACCTTACATTTCAACTCTGAGCTATAAATATTCTCCTTTATTGAAACCATCATGATCACCACCTCATTTCTTTTTTCTTTAGTATGTTTTTCACCTTTTTATCTCTCGTGAGGCCAGTTATTATTATACAACTCTTGGGAATGTTCTAAATGGAGAGAGAATCAACATGGTGGCCACACCTACACAATTGTAGCCCCACACTTTTTACTATGTGCACAATACACATTAAAAAGCAGTGGGGTTTGATCATGCAGCCACAGCTATTTTATTGACTTTTTTCTTTTAAAATCCTCTCCTGCAGGAGAAGAATGTAAAAACCTACACTTAAATTTGCTTAAGAAAGGCTCTTGAAATCAGCTAGGGAATTCTGGGACTTGAATTCCACCCATGTTTGGGAAACCATGTTCTAAAATCACAAGCTACCCATCTCTGTACTGTACAAGATGCTTTAGTTGTCAGTGGAGAACAACAATTTAATTCAGCATTAAATTCTTTGAGGCATGCAACAGTTATCAAGGCAAACTTTTACTCTCCCAGAGCAGGGTGACGCCTGTTTCAACAGCAAGTATGCAAACAAACAAATCTCACAAAAGAAGGATCAGCTGTTAAGGGTTTGGCAAGAAATGCCAACTTTAAGTCATTGGCCCAACATGGGGTTCTACTGTTCTAGTCAAATATTTTAATCGAGGCTGGAGAAGGAAGTGAGAGATGGACTAATTTTCATGCTGTACTGTACAAGATAAAGGAAGGGGCGTGTTCTAAAATTGAGTGAATCGCTGGTGGAGTTTGATCTGTGGCCTTTTAGATCCATTTTCATTTTCCTTCTCTGATTGTTGGCATCCACAGAGAATGCAAAAAAAAAAAAAAAAAGGAAGGCCAACAAGTTTTTCTAGATGATTAATTTGCATTCAATCCCCACCCTTTCTGGGCACATTCCTGGTACTCAAAGCTATTCCTGATGTGGTTTCTGCTTGGGTTACCACCTTTGAATCCTCCTCTTAAGGCCAAAGTCTTGCTGTGAAATGTAGGAATGATTCTGAAACGTTTTGAAAGACCAATGGAAGCCCACATGATCTCTGCCACATTTTGGACAATCCCCATTCATGAACATTTGCTCCCACTGCATGCAGTCCTCACTTTACAACAGTTCATTTAGGGACCATTTGAAGTTATAACAGCACTGAAAAAAAGCAACATGACCATTTTTCACCCTGACAACCGTTGCATGATTGAAGTTCAGACATTTGGCAACTGACTCACTCGACTTACATCCTCAATTGAGCCCAAAATTTCCATTGCTAAGCAAGACAATTGTTAAGTGAATTTTACCCCATTTTACAACCTTTCTTGCCACAATTATTAAATTAATTACATAGTTGTTCAGTTGGTAACATGGTTGTTAAGTGAATCTGGCTCCCCCACTGGATTTGCTTGTCAGAAAGTCACAAAAGGTGGACTTCCGGTGATGTTTCTGTCGAAGATGGATCAGAGACCGTGATCGTGTGCGGCTTTGATCCGTGCTTGCCCTGTTGGAGGGGTCCCTAAGGGACCGAACCATCTGCCCACCTTGTAGGGGTGGGGGGAAGAGGGGGAGACCACCAGCTGGGTTGAGAGGAGCCACATCTCCTCTCCCTGGCTTGGTATCTACTCCCCTAGAAGACAGGGAGAAGCGGCAATTTAATGGCTGCCCTGAAGACAGGAAGTTGTTGGGACTTAAGTTTGTGCTGGAGAGTGGAAGTGGTGAGCAGCATATAACTAGATAAAAGACTTTGAATACTTTTTTTTTGATAACCCCGAAAAGCGGAAAGAAAGAATCCTCATTTGGAAGAATGGTAGCGGGGAATAAGAGGAAAATATAAGGTAAAAGAAAAACCGGAAATAAAAAAATTATATGAAAACAGAGATTAAATTTGGACTAATATACAGAATTGGACATTAATTAGGCATTGGATAAAATGCTGTATTTATTTGGAATGGATAAAATTTAATGTTAATACTCCGGAAAAGAGAATTAAAAATTAAAAAACTTTGAAAAAAAGTGATATAGAGCACTACCTAATGGTTAAAGATTTTCCTCTTTTATGCTTTTATGGGAAATTACTGGTTGTATAAATATTTGAAAGAAAGAGGAAATGGAATAAAATATTATTATTTTTAAAACAAATTTTATTAATTTTAAAGACAAACAAACCATCATTAACCATTAAATACATAAACCTTTTTCCATTATAAATTTTACAAGTCAAATAAAACATTATTTAATACAACATAATTCTATTTTAGACCATTTCCATATGAACATACAAATATCTCTTATCAAATTTCAAGGTATTTCTCTTTACTCTTATTCAATTTCATTATTATTATTATTTTTCTCTATATTTATCCAGTTTATAATTATCATCTATTTCTCTCTGACTTGATTACCATTATTCTCATCCTACATTCCTGCAAGGTTTTATTAATTCTCCCACATACATAAACACACAAAACACAAAAATATAAAACATCTTTTAGGAAAATAACTTGGCCCCAGATACTTCTCTCTATATGGACTTCAATTAAGTTCATGCTCATCTTACATGCCATTACCTATTTTATTTACCATTCTATATCTTCTATATTAATTTCTCCACACATTTCACTCTTCTTGATTCTATCTTATTTAATTCATCTTAATTTAAGTCATTATATTTGTATCTTTTGTCCATTCTTTATTATCCATTTGTCTCATTCCCTATAGTAAAAAAGAAAAAGAATTTCTCCTGAAATCACTAATCAGAGTATGATGCCTTTCTATCATCACCCTAAATTAACATTTAAAATAACACCTAATACCCAATCTGATTCTGCTTGGTACATTCTATCTACTAACTTTTAAAAAGAAAAATAATAAATCCAAAATGATTAAATACATAGTTAAATAATAAATCTAAATATTGAATCTTATAACATTCCAATTATCTTTTCCAAAAACAAACGCTACAATAATAAGTTTATAATAGCATCAACACCATAGTCAATTAGACTCTTTAATTAAACTCAATATTCTAAACATTCCCTTTAATATTTTATTAGGTTTTAAAATCAATCATTACTAAACATTTCAATATTTTAATCTCTTATTAATTCTTATAACATTCTAATTTTCTATTTCTAATACAAATGCTACAGTACCATCTTATGTACCTTGCAGAATCTTTTTTAAAGAAATTATACATTACCCTTTGTCCCTAAAAAAAATTCCTCTTTTCCCATCTTGTTTCAAAGCTTAGTGGCTTTTTTCTGCCTTCTCCCTTCCTTTCTTCTCCCACCAAGCCTTCTTACCTCCCCCCCCTCCTAGCCTCTGCCTTGTTAGCTTCCCTTCTCTTGTATTCCTTTTTTCTTTTGTTTTCTAACATTATATTGATTTTGCATCTTATTTTTCTCTTTCTTGGGTGTTTTTTTAAGTCTTAAGTTCTTCATTTTCCTTCCTCTCTTTCTCCTTTCTTTCTTAATTAAATTTTGAGATTCATTAAAGATGGCATCTTCTTCTTCTTCTTCTTCTTCTGCTGCCTCCATCTGTTGTTGTGTTTGTTGATAGATAGCAAGCGCCATTTCTAAAAAGAGAAAAGCTTCTTTCACAGCGTCCTTGCCTTCTTTTTTTATTTTTTCATATTCTTTTCTCAATTCATCAACAGATAAAGCCATTATAAATCTTTTCTTTTCTTTTTTTCCTCTTTCTTCTTAAAACAACCAAGATGTTTCAAGAGTTAGAACAGTCCCAAAGTCATCAATCAGTCCAAGCCAAAACAAAGTTCTCACTTTCTCTTCCCGGGGTAATATCAATTAAAAAAGAAAAAAAAGAAAAACCCAATCTGTATTTTAAAGCCTTATTACAATAAATTTCAGATCCTTAAGGCATCTCCTCCAATAAGATTTGTTGATTCCATAGAGAAGGAGAGTAAACTTTCCTTTCAGCACCTCAAAATTGCCACTTATAATTCTCTTCTGGAAAGTATCATTCAAAAAGCCATAGTTTTCAGGATGTTAAATGTGTCTTAAAGTCCTGGGTCAGCCAAGAAAAACTTTCACTTCAAAAACTTTCTCCTCTTCCTCCTGCACATTCTTACCCAGCTGCCGGCTTCTTTGTGGCGGCCATTACAGACCGCCGCTGCACCGTCTTAAGAAAAGGGGGTTTTGCCAGCCGGGGAGGGGGTCTGCAACACCCCCAAACCCCTCTCCGGATCCCCCCTATCTTCAGCCACCCCTGCAGGGCAGCCTTAGCCTCCAAACCCGTCCGGATCAGAGGCACCAAAACGGCTAGCGCTGCAGGGATCGCGCAGTATCGCGAATCCCTGCCGCTAGCGAAGCCGACCTTCCAGAAGAAATGGAATAAAATATTATTAATACAACAAGAACCCCAGAAGCTTTAAAAAAATGGGGACTACAGTAAAATATAAAGGAATACAATATTTTGAGACTGCTGGAGGTTGACTGTGACAAAAAAAACAACAGAAGAGAAATTGAGAGAAACTGAGACTTTTGGCAAGGACTATAAAATTTGATCTTTAATAAAGAAATGGAAGAAATAAGCAAAGAATTTAAGTTGGAGCTGCAAACTGTGAGGGGTATGTTAAAAGAAAGAATGAGATTGCTGGATACAATGATTAGTAAATGGTGTTGCAGCTTGCAGAAGAACAAAGAAAGCCCAGAGATGACGAGTTGGAAAAGGAAAACAACAGCCTAGAAGAATATGGAGAACAAGGACCATTGCCAAAGGATATTAAAAGATTTAAAATAGAGACACTGACAACAGAGTCAACAAATAAAAGAGATAAGGCTCCCAAGACTAAGAAGAAGAAGAAGGAATT